TCAAAGTTTCGTGTTTGATGTTGACTTTGTAGGTATTTTACAATTCTTTTACACTCAGCCAGTGAGTTTGTTCTAAATTGAATTCAAAAAACTAAAGTCTCTTCATTTCGACCTAAAGTTACTGTACAGTGATACCATAGTTAATATTAACTATGGTGATACACGAAATTTCAATTACACAACAATGACTTACTGTTTGGAGGATCCCACGTGACATTAGCCATCCAATGAGCGCCATGTTTCGTGATCGTTGCGTTCATAGCATCGATATTGACATCTCCAGTTTCTACTTTAGGTGGTAKGCCATTGTATTCTTGTTTTTTGCGTTTGATATACTCACGACAATCTGTAACAAARTACAATCTTGATTAAATTGGAAGTCGGTGTTCAGATCCATGAAATAAGCTCTTGCCAGGATCTTMATAGTCTTCTTCACGGTTCCCTGCGCCATCTTGAAAGGTAGCCGTGCCTTTACATCGAAGCGAGACAACCGTTGAGCGTGCAATGATAGATACCTGTGAAAAAGTGTCTGTAGGTGTGAAAGAAGGTTTCYATCATTGCACGCTCAACGGTCGTCTCGCTTCGATGTAAAGACACRGMTACCTTTTCATGAGATTCAAAAGATAAAAGACCGGCGGCCATGTTGGAGAAATGTTCAATAGATATTAATGGKAAATCTTTTGTTGAAGTTCCTCCAAGATGGCCACTGTGACTAAACTTGGACACGAAGAATAGCAGATCATGTGGTAAAACAAAGATGGCTGCCTGCTACAAAAATCAAATTACCTCTATGTGTATTCCAGTTCTTTCCTTTAGTTTCGCTGTCGCTCTATGATGGAAAAAATATATAGTCTTATTTATATTGTGTTGTAATTTTAACATAAATTGTGAAGGAGATAACTCTAAATAATAGACTAATCACTAATTCGCTTGGATCAACACGAAACAATGGCTTCATTTCGAGGCTGGAGTTTTATCTTTTGTAGGAAACTCCAGGCTCGAAATGAAACCATAGTTTCGTGTTCATCCAAGCGAATTTGGGATTGGTCTATTGTCTTGAGTCTGTTTTTTTTTAAGGGGTTTTTTTTTTAAGGGGGATGATTAGGGTTAGGGGGGAAGGGGACAGAGGTTACTAACTATACCTTGTTTCCATCGTTTGCCGCTGTTATGTTACCATCRTCTACAGATCGCACTTTTCTGTGGATTACTGAAAGGTTTTTGATCATGAMAGTTATTRTATTATTGTAAATGACACAAATCATTGGCAGATRYAMCCATGTCGATRAATGCTATCCGAACGACGATTGCACGACCGAAAGGATCTATGGTTACGCTTTTTGACATATCAAATTTCACGTTGCGTTAAAAAGGAGACTAAATGGAGCTAATGTCWACCACAGACTATCTTACAGTATAAATCAGTTATTATTTCCCATTAATTAGGAAAAAAAATGTCTCCTTTCGGTCGTGCGATTTCTTTTGCGCTGTGTTAGCCTCAAAACCACGTAATATTTAACAATTATTCGCCGAAGGCGAAGTGATTACCAATGAATATTTACCGAGCGGCGATTCCGCGAGCCGCGAATCAAATTCGACCAATCAGCGCGCTAGAATTATAATATTCACTTATGAAATTATACTAAATTCTTTTATTCACTAACAGCCCGTGAAAATGCAAGAGATCCGTGAGTATACAAGATAATGGAAATAGTTTGAACTTTCACGAGTTGAATCTTAATTTCCGAATATTTTACACACAACAGAGCGTAAAAGAGATCGCGAAACTCGACTATTGCCACTCGCCATTTTATCTAACAACTTTTAATTTCACCTTATAGGAAGATTAGTAAAGAAATGTGCTGTTTCGTAATGGTTTTGGATATTACGTCATCATATGTGACGTCATAGTAAAATGTAAATTACTTACCAGTCTCCTGCTCTGCGCACACGCATCTTTCAGAAGAACCTTTCTTGTTCTATAAAAAAAACGACCGGTTTACTCAGTAAAACCCGCGGCGACTTAGAATTACACACTGTTCTTTTAAAATTAAATAGATTAAGTTATACGAATTATCATTCAATAGGTTTATTGTAGACATAGATGATATTACCGCAGAGATACGGATTTATCTTAACGCTCACTCGTGAGAGATTTTCAACGCGAGAAGATAAACTTCGTATCTACAAGCGACCATGTAATATTCTGTTTATCATATAATTAAATATGAARGCCAATTATGTCGTAAAATAGATTTTTCTTACTTTCACTATATMGAAAAACCTCGAAAAACWTTGTGAAATGGAGAATACAAGTATTTTGTAGATAATTCTACGATAAAAACATCTAATAAACGCTTTACTACACTACATTTACCACATCAAAAGTTGTCTCAACTTCCTGTCTAGTCTCCTTCGCAGCCTACCCTTTTGCCGGGCTTCCTGTCCCTCCCAAAAGAGGGAGGCTGCGAAGGAGACTACTTCCTGTCAGGTTTTACACAAACTCTTATAGTCTTGTGTTTAGATAATAATTTTGGTATTTTCTGGGTTGTCTAATTTACAAAAGGTATAGTTGCAAAACTTCTCGGAAAAGATCATGCATATGTTGAGAAAAAAAACTTTATCTGATCAGTTAAATGACGGCAAAATGAAGTTAATTGGGTATTTTGCTTCAAACTATCAAGCAGATGTTTGTTGGCATTATTCTTCGATGACTCATCGTTGAAAATCGCTTCCTTTCGGTAGGATAGGGTATGTATTGCTGACGCTTTGTGATTGGACGGGTGGTAACTATATTAAAATTCAAGTATCTATCGGTGTGAGCCTTTTTCCGATATATTGATATGTGTATTGAGCCTTTATCTAAGACWTTTTTTAAAACCTCATTTAAACAGTCAAAAAACGGCAACCCAGCCTCTGAAACCTCTCGATAGTGAATTTGATATCGTCCTGCTGGTACAGTGTTTGTGGAAGGCACATCAATCTGTTGTTTCCTTATCACACCCATCATCTCCAACCAACGTTGCCACCCTAAAGATGACCGCTTAGGGAGAAAGCTTGAGCTAATAAATAATGTCAAAACAGTCTAGATTGATGTATCTGAGTCTCGCAATTAAGAGTACAAATCTTTTCTTAATTTTTCTCGCGCCATTTCTGATGAATATGTACACTTTTGTTAATGACAGGTTTATATTATAATAGARCCAGCCGGGCCATCTGATATTCTGACGCTGACATGTATTTAAGATAAGCAGTCGTTCAAATAAAGGTTGTCAATCAAGCGAGGGAACACTTACATCAGGCAAAGTAAAGCTTTTTTGTTATAGGGAGAAATCATGAGCATTGACGGAGGCGGAGGGAGGGGAGGCTTGGAGATTGTGTACTTTCTGTGAGAAAAACAAGCGAGATGAACGTAATCGCTTATGTTTGTACATTATTTCTACATCTTTTTATACCCTCCCTCTGCCCCCTGACTCCATCCTTGCTCAAAGTTTCGTTGCAGATCAAACYGTACTTGCTGGATGCTCTTTGGGAGCGTTCTGTTGAGCTTAAATTATCAAAAATCTTTAGCCAAGATCATGATCTTGGCGTTAAAAAACAGACGGAAAGTTTTTCACATTTCTTTTGTATTTCAATTCTAAACGGTTGTCATTGTTCATCCACTTAGCCCACAAATGGAATGCTTTTAACCTGTCCGTTGTGCCACCGTTTGTTTACTCATAAATCACTTTTATTATCGCCAGAGTAAATACATCCGCAGCTAGAGAGACAGCGCTTTGAAGAACGCTGCCTCACAATGGACTATAACTTAGAATTACATGACCGAAAAGCAAAGTGGGATACTAGAATCTAAATACGGTTGCATATTGCTTCGAGCCACGCCTTGTCTACGGAATTAAAAGTCGGGAAGTTCTTTTGCAGATATAGATCGTTACTTCGAGTCGACTGGTGGTAGTTTTCGGTAGGTATTTGACCACCGTTCGATTATGACGATAGCCTTAGAAAGGCGAGTACAAAAAAAAAATGAAACATGTGTGTCCGGAATCATGTAATCTTTCAATTCGTCACCCCTAAAAGCAGATAATGTACTACTACTTCCGCAGAACACTGATCAATCCTTGATAAGAAGAACTTGATAAAATAAAAAGGTAGAAAAAAAATAAAACAAAAAGCAAATGATACCAATTAAGGAATGGATTTGGTAGTAAAATGATGACGAAATTAGGACACAAATGATAATAAACGAAGTTTTCTTTYATTTGACAAGCGTCAATCAAATATCAGCAGGAAATGCTTACGGCTTTAMTTAAACTTCCTCGATACCTAAAAAATTGAAATTATGAAGACGTCTTTAACTACAAAACTCTTGAAATTAATATAATCTGCCCTTAAGCCATCTCATAAAACGAGTTTTTCGTTTAATTTCTTAGGGGAAAACGTTCGATCAGGGAATGTCTGTCCGGCCTGAATTTATTAAACAAAATTATAAAGAAACYAAAATTGAATACAATAAGAAATGTTTCAATTACAGGTGATTTTGGAAAATATATCAATTTCATTTCCAAATTGAAAGAATATTTCTTACTGAGACACAAATTGTTGCGATAAAAACACTTCCCTTTTCGCAAGGAAAACCATAAAAAAGAACACCGCTCATCCATAAAGAAAAGGCGTTTTTTTTTTGTTTAAGCTCCCTCCTGTCCACATCTTTGAGGAATTAATAAAAAAATCGAAATGGTCTGTCTAGTAGTAGGTAAATATGTCAGCTAATGGCGTATTTTACTTATATACTACAGTGCCAAAACCAGACGTTTAGTTTTGATGTCCCTTGGATAAATCCTCTAGGAAATCCAACTAGAGCGATAATTTAGCTTTAGAAAATAGGATTTTTGACTTTTTGTAATTTTCATTTTTTTCATTTAGTTTTTATGTCAAAAATCAAATTATCATTTGTTTAGTTAGTGGGAAAATACATTACGTCACGGCCGCACGTAGTCATTGCAGGAGCCTGCTGTCAAAAACTGATGTTTAAATATAAATTCTTATTGTTGGGAAGTCTTAACTCACTTTAAGATTGGGAAAAAAATCATTATACTAAAATGAAATAGTTAATCGTTTTATTAAACAAACCGTTTTAAAATTTACTGGGATAATCGCCGATGAAATATTCATTTAATATTTCTAGTTTTTCAAGTTTCTAATTAAATTTGTTATCTCGTTCATCTGTTTGCTAAATCTTTTACTTTTTATATTGAAGAAAATAATTTATCAACGTCCTTTTTCAAACATTTCATTATTACTCAAATTTTATACTAAATAAATACGTTGTAAAATATTGGTCAAATATCATATATTTCTACTTATTTCTTGTCTTTCATTTTTCTTTCTTTTCTCTCAGTTATTGTGATATAATCATCAATGAGAGTTCTGAAAATCTCAACTCTTAAATCTGGCARTGAGCTGAAGCTGAATATTAATCACAAAGAAAACACTTGATAAATGTACCTCAAAAAATTCAAATAAAATGCACTTAAATTATAATATATATAACTTAAGTGATTAAAATAAGACTTAGGTTCTCTAATGTTTTGTTTATCAAAGTTTTTTTCCGAAGAAAACAAAGCTTTTTTTACATTTTTACACACTTCTACTCACCATTTCCCTTCCAGCACTGCTACCAAGGTCAACTTTGCATTGCTCGCAGGAACGTTTTCTCAAAATTGATTCTTCGGTGGCCTCCTTTGCGGCAGAAAAACCGAAAATAAGTACTCCAACAATTACTAAAAGACCTTTGMCCATTTCGTAACGATTTAGTGAAGAAGTCTCCGAGTATTCAAACGGTCAAGCAATGAAGCGTTGGAKTGTTAAATCTGTATTATAACCAAGCTGAATTGATTTACGGTGCCGGATAGGAAGAATTAGTTCTACATCTTCATCGTCTGTCTTCTAGTATACCCAAAAGTAATATTTCTTGTATGAATAAGCTGTCTTTTTGGTAGGAAAAACACGCAGTTTGTTCTAACTTTCAGTTTCAAAACCTTTAAAGTTTATATACACTTGTCCGCGAGGTCGTGAGGAGTTTCAGCTCTCATTGGCGTTCACGTGTTTGACAATGACAACATGTGTGG